CTATGATACTTGTATCATTAGAGTACATACATAGAATACATGACTAGAATAGGATAGATACTTGTTTTGAGAGTAACATTTACGCATATTCAGATGAAATCAACAAATACAGTTAACTTGTTTCAGTTTTACTGGGGCTCAGATGATACAATGTGTTGAGAAAACAATTACTATTAATATGATTGTATAGTAATAGATTCATATCAGTAGATATTATATCCCTTTTACACTATATAGATTAAACATACATATTATTACTATTGTTAGACTGATATATTCGATTGTATCTTATCCATACACCTAGGACTCACAGAGAGCCATGTAAATGCCTTTGGCTTAGATGATGTCTCTGGACCTCTCTCTTGTGACTACAACATAAGCGATTAGATAATTACATACATACTTACCAGTATCCGCGGGAATACAATCTAGTAATTTGATATCTGTTGTAGAATAGATTATGATTCAGTACATAACTTGTATCCTACAGAAATCAATTCGAATATGTAGATATTTTGTAATGATACATAGATACATACATACATACATACATACATAGATACATACATAGATACATACATACATACATACATACATAGATACATAGATAGATACATAGATAGATAGATACATAGATAGATAGATAGATAGATAGATAGATAGATAGATAGATAGATAGATAAGTGGGTAGATGTGTTTCTGGATGAATGGATAACTGGATTGGTTGATGGATAAATGGACAAACGGATTATTTACTGGATGAGTGGATGGCTGGGTGAATTAACCAATTAGTTGATGAAAAAGTCATCAGCTGGATAGGCGGATGAGTTACTGGATGGCTGGAAGGCTAAACTGGTCGATCGTTTGATTAATTAACTGAAAGATGAGTGGATGGAAAGGCCACCGTGTACTAGGCCCACACCTGTGATGGGCAAACATAATCTCCAATCTTCAAAACAACCCTGTGAAGAAGGAATCATCACCCTCATTTTATAGACGATGAAACTGAGGCTCAGGGGGAAAGAGACTTGCCTAAAGGGAGTCAGGACAGAGGGGCGGCCCCGACCCACCTCATCTCCCTTCAGCCAAGTGGCGACGGGAGGGGGCTCCCCTGTGATGGTCACGTCCAGCCTCAGCTTGTTTCCAGCCACAACCACAATCGCATTCTCTGAGGTCTTCCCCGAGCAATCCAAGTGGATTTTTGGTGGTTCTGGTGGCACAGAAGAGATATGGGGACCCTGGAGGTGGGCGGCTGGGCCTTCCCAGTCGGCAGGAGAGGATCTCGGAAAAGTTGGGTTCCAACAGAGAGAGTCCCAGGGATCCAGGCCCCCAACCCCTCCTCCCTCATACCCAGGGATCCAGGTCTCCAACCCCTCCTCCCTGAGACCCTACAGTCTAGGCCCCCAGCCCCTCCTTCCTCATACCCAGGGATCCAGGTCCCCAACCCCTCCTCCCTCAGACCCTACAATCTAGGCCCCCAGCCCCTCCTCCCTCAGACCCAGGGGTCCAGGCCCCCAACCCCTCCTCCCTCGGACTCCAGTCCCTCCTCTCTCGGCTGACCACCCCCACCCCCGTCTGTGGGCTCCCCGCCCCTCCTCCCTCCCTCAGCACCCCCCCGCCCCTCCTCCCTCAGCCCCACTCCTCCCCCTCAGACCTGCCCCTCCTTCCTCGCCCCACCCATCCTCCCGCGCCCCGCCCATCCGCCCTCGCCCCGCCTATCCTCCCTCGGCCATTCCCCTCCTCCCTCAGCCCCGCCCCTCCTCCCTCGGACCCTCTCCCAGCGCAGCCCGTGGTGCTCACCTTGCTTGGGAACGTACTCCACCTTGATTTCTGGAAGACAAAGAAGAGTGGACGGTTAGGTCTAAATCCAGCAGGCCCCTCACCCCACCTTCACAACCCAGAGGAAGAGGTGATGGGGTCTGGCAGTCTTCCTGGGAACTGGGATGCTGGGGACAGGTTCAGGCCCAGGAGCCACCCCTCCTCCCAGGCGGCAGGCGGCGGTGAGTTCAGTGCTCTCCCTCCATCTTCTGACTCCAGCCATGAGCGGGACAGAGGCTTGCTGTCGTCCTCATTCGCACTCAGGGAACCTTAATCCTGGAGGGGGACATCCCGGGCCCTGGGTCTGGGAAGGTGGATCCTACAGCCCCCAGGGAAGGAGGAAGGGGCATCCTCACCCAGGAAGTTGAGTTTGGCCGAGAGCGACAGGGCGTAGCCGTCAGGCACGAACGTGTAGTCTCCCTCATCCTCTGGGCGGACGTCATCGATCACCAGCTTGTGGAACCTAAGGGGTGGGGGAGCAGGGTAGGGTTCGGGCCAGATTGCAATGGGGACCACTACGGGACTGCACCGTCTCATCAGCTTCCCTCAGTGCAATTCACATGCCTGCATTCTTATCCAGGGCTTTGGAATGCTGTGGACTATGTTCAAATCGGTAGCTGTGTGACCTTGGGCAAGTTACTTAACCTCTCTGTGCCTCTGTTTCTTCATCTATAAAATAGGGGTAACGATACCAATCTACATGAAGGTTGTTGTAAAGCATCGAAAAAGGTGCAGTGGCTCACATCCCAGCACTTTGGGAGGCTGAGGATCAAGAATTGCTTGAGCCCAGGAGTTCGAGTAGCTGGGACTATGGGCATGTAACACAACACCCAGCTAATTTTTGTGTTTTCGTAGAGATGGGGATTTCACCATGTTGGCCAGGCTGGTCTCAAACTCCTGACCTCAAGTGATCCGCCTCCCAAAGTACTCGGCCTCCCAAAGTACTAGGATTATAGGTGTGAGCCACCGCGCCTGGCCATTATCATCATTATTGAGACCACCAGCCGGCATGGTTCCCTACACAGAACACAGGGAACGCCTACATCCCACTAAGAGCTATTGCCAGGAAGCCCTGGACAGCACGATGCTCTCCGGGCGTCATGGAGATTATCATGCATTCTGCAGGTAACCAGGTGTTTGTCTTAGGTGTCCACGTGTGACCTGTTGAATTCCAGCTTCTTGTTTGCTGAGCTGGCGCCCGTGTGGACTGTTAGCAGATATGGCCAGAGACCTTTCTCTGCCCGTGTCCATGCCCTTGCAATGCGGCCTTGCAGCATCCCCATCAGGTGGTGGAGTCTGCTTCCCAGCCCTTGACTCAGAGCTGACCTGGGACTTTCCTTGCCCAACAGACTATGGCGGAAGTGGCAATGGACCAGTTTCCAGCCTGGGCCACAAACGTCTTGTTTGCTTCCATGCTCTCTCAGGACCTCTGCCTCTGCCACATGAACGTGCTAGGCTGAGCTCACTGGAGGAGGAGGAGGTGCCATAGGGAGCAGCGTGCTGGGTGCCCAACTGTCCCAGCTGAGGTCCTGACAGCACCCACGCAAAGTCAGCAGGCCCCAGGTCCTGCCACCACAGAGGTAAGAATGAGGCCATCCTGGATCAGCCAACCCCCAGCCAACCTGCAGACTCAAGATGAAATGAATCCTAATTTATTTATTTATTTAGAGAGAGGGTTTCACTATGTTGCCTAGACTGGTCTCGAACTCCTGGGCTCAAGAAGTCCTCCTGCCTTGGCCTCCCGAAGTGCCAAGATTGTAGGTATGAGTCACTGCAACGAGCCCAATCCTCATCCTTTTAAACCTCTAAGTTTGGAGACGGGACAGGAGTGGTGGCTCACACTTGTAATCCCAGCACTTTGGGAGGCTGAGGTGAGTGGATCACCTGAAGTCAAGAGTTAGAGACCAGACTGGCCAACATGGCAAAACCCCGTCTTGACTAAAAATGCAAAAATTAGCATGGTAGTGTGCACCTGTAGTGTCAGCTAGTCAGGAGGCTGAAGCAGGAGAATCGCTTGAACCTTGGAGTTGGAGGTTGCCGTGCAAGACTCTGTCTCAAAAAAAGAAAAAAGAAAAAAGAAAAGAAAGGAAAAAAGAAAAGAAAAAGTCCAGGCGTGGTGACTCATGCCTGTAATCCCAGCACTTTGAGAGGCTGAGGTGGGTGGATCACTTGAGGTCAGGACTTCGAGACCCACCTGACTAACATGGTGAAACCCCATCTCTACCAAATACAAAAAAATTAGCCAGGTGTGGTGGTGCATCCCAGCTACTTGGAGGCTGAGGCAGGAGAATCCCTTGAACCCAGGAGGCGGAGGTTGCAGTGAGCTGAGATCGTGCCATTGCACTCTAGCCTGGGCAACAAGAGAGAAACTCCATCTCAATTTAAAAAAAAAGTGGGGGACAGCTTGTTATTCAACTAAAGCTAACTGCTACACACACCCTGCCCCCAGCCACTTCTGCAGCCCACACCTCACCTGCCTACATGGGAAATGGTGATCCTCTTGCTGGGCCGCACCTCGATCCCATTCTTATACCATTTGCCCGTCACTTTCTCATCAGACACCTCACACTTGAACACAGCCTGTTCTGCGGCCTTCACCGTCAGGTCCGCGATGTCCTGCAGGACCTCCAGCTGTTTCTCTGGTCAGGGAGAGAAAGACAGGGAGCTGTCACTACTCCAGTTGGTGCACAGACACTTGTGAGCACCCACTGCGTGCCAGGCGCTGGTCTAGGCACTGGGGATACCAGCCACGGACAACCCAGAAACAACCCACTGGCCTTGGGAAGCTCCCATGCTAGGGGGAGACGGTGGAGAAAGAAACAGAAGAGGGAGCATGGAGGCCTGAGGGAGGCAGGGAGGAATCCACCAGAGGATGAAAAAAAGCCTCTCAGGCAGAGGGACTGCAGCGTGCAAAGGCCCTGAGGTGGCCAGGCACAGTGGTTCACACCTGTAATCCCAGCACGTTGAGGTTTTTATTTATTTTATTTTATTTATATATTTTTTGAGACGGAGTTTCACTCTTGTCACCCAGGCTGGAGTGCAATGGCGTGATCTTGGCTCACTGCAACCTCCACCTCCCAGGTTCAAGTGATACTCCCGCCTCAGCCTCCTGAGTAGCTGGGATTACAAGCACACGCCACAACGCCCGGCTAATTTTTGTATTTTTAATAGAGGTGAGGTTTCACCACGTTGGCCAGGCTGGTCTCTAACTCCCGACCTCAAGTGATCCACCCGCCTTGGTCTCCCAAAATGCTGGGATTACAGGTGTGAGCCACCCCGCCCAGCTTTTTCTTTTCTTTTCTTTTCTTTTCTTT